CTGGTTAGCAGGCAAGTGTCTTAGCCACTATGCTACCAGAGCTCCCTTCCATAGTGATACTGCCTCGGAAACCCAAGGAGGGGTCGCTATGAGTCGGGTCTGACTCCACGGCACATAACGACAACAACAAAGTAACTATTTTAGGTTTTGTGGGCCACCTGTCTCTTGTATATTCTTCTTTTTTGAAGAATCCTTTAAATATGTAAAGAACAAACATACAAACAAACAAAAAAAAACAAAACAGAACACCAGTTGGATCCCTGGCATATATCAACTTTCTAGCTATTTTAGCTCTGAAAAGGAGGCGACTGGGTAGTAATTTGAAGGAGATTTAGGTAAGCAGTAATTTTTCTTCTCTGAAAATTAGAAAGAGAGAATGTCAATGGGAAGAATCCCAATCAAAACAAGTAGAAATTACAAGGGAGAAGAAATAAAGTTCCTGGGAACACTAAAGGAAATGGAATTCAAACTGATAAACAATTTACCTCTATGAATAATTCCTCCATTTAACCAAAATAAAAAGGGAAATTAGAAGTTAAATAAGAAAGTCTAGCTAGATCTGACATAGAATGTCATTTGTTTGGTCTCAAGAGATAATCCAATAAACCAGTGGCTTAGGCAAAGCTTGTTCCTCGAGGCATCAAATTAATATGAAGACACAAATTTATAGATGCCTAGAGGTTTCAAGCCAATTGACCTTGGTAGAGTCCAATGAATCAAAGAGATTTGGCCCTTACCTTCAACTTTGGATGCAACTTTGGGTGAGGTAGACTATTTCTACTGATGTGTTTCCTGCTTGCATCTGACACTAAAGTCTATCCACACACTCCCCAACAATGGTCTCATTTTGTTGTTCTGACGCATTGACCTACTAAAGTATATGTTCTTTGAGGCTGAAAAACTGTACTACAGAATAAACTTTATCTTCCTTTGCTGAGCAGTTCACCATTGCTTGAGATACCACCATGATGACCTACACAAGTTTATCAAACGATTCCAGTCATGTAGATGTTAATGGCAGGGAAATATTACTACCATAGAGGATAATGTATCTTGAAAGAGATACCAAGCTAACAAACTTCAGATAGACATTACCAGAAAGGCATTATTAAAAAAGAAAGTTAATAAAAATACAATAAAAACTGTAATTTAAGACACATAGCTACAACTGAAACATGAAAATTATTGAAATAAAAAAAAGATTTCTGAATTTAAAAATTTAAAAGAAAAAGGATGGCCACTGTTAGAAACCAAATTAGTATCCTGGAATAACAAAAAGGGAAAAACATAAGCTGAGAGAAACATGAAAGGAAAACTAAGAAATTCTAGAAGGAAAACCAAAATGGATGGAGAACAAGTA